ACCAGCCAGAATGGAAACCCAAAGGGTATCAGCTAAGTATTTCATAGAATCCTTTAGGTTGGAAGGGACCTCCAAGATCATCAAGTCCAACCATTGAGCCATTAGGGCTCCAAAGTCCTCTGCTAAAACAGCTCAGAATCTGTCAGGGTTGGAAGGGACCACAAGGGTCACCCAGTTCCAACCCCTCTGCCATGAGCAGGGACACCTCCCACTAGATCAGGCTGCCCAGAGCCTCCTCCAGCCTGGCCTTAAAGACCCCCAGGGATGGGGCCTCAACCCCCTCCCTGGGCAACCCATTCCAGGGGCTCACCACTCTCATGGGGAAGAACTTCTTCCTCACATCCAGCCTGAATCTGCCCACTGCCAGCTTTGCCCCATGCCCCCTAGTCCTGTTGTTACTCGATAGCCTAAAAATTTCCAGTCTCTTAGCAGCAGAGGCATCAACTGCATGATTTCAGAAGCTTGTTGTCAATCTTGCACACATAGCATTTGTTTTTCTCTCTTAATGGTAGTATTGACTCACACGAATTACATTATTACAGTACACTGTGTAAAACATGCTGCTGTTCTGTATAGATGGGTTGCAGTGGATCTGGCAATTATGTCTTTTATGAAAAGACACGAGTTGAACATTAGAATGCCCATGAATTAGGGGACAGGCAGCAGGCACTCATTAAAGATTTTAATTGCTTTCTTTTTCTTCTTTGAAAAAAAAAAAAAAAAGCAGAGGGAGCCATGTTTGAAAGTGAGCAATTAAAGGCTACTTCATAGCTAATTGCTGTGAGAAGGGGCTGCTGTGTGCAATATGCTCTATTGTAATTCATATGATTGCTTGACGTTTTATTAAGAAGCATATCTTTGTACTGTGGTAAAATTTAATTTTCTGCAGCGTAACTGAATGCGTAATAACTGCTGAAGTAATGGCTGTTTGGATTTGTTGTGGCTCTTTTCCTTTCTGCATGTAATAAACATGTCATAAATTAGCTGCAATTATCAAGGCCGTTGATGTACAGCAACTCCTCTGTGGATAGGTGGCTTATCGAGTTTGCAGGTAAGGATCTTGTAGATGTGGATGGGAAGGCACAAGCTGTCTGTAGCTCAGCAGGGTTGTTAGTTTAAGTTGCAGATGCTCAGGATGGCAGATTTCTTCCCTGCCCTCAGCCAGCGTGGGTCTGGAAGTCCCATGCTGTTGTATTGCTGCAGTTTGGA